TTACTTCTATTATTTACTTCTAATTTTATCTCATTGTGGTTGGAAATACTTCGTATGATATCTATTTTTAAGTCTATTAAGTCTTATGTTGTGTCCTAACATTTGATCTCTCCTGGAACTTTCCCTGTGAAATTGGGAAGAATGGCCGGGCGTGGTGGCTCAAGCCTGTAATCCCAGCACTTTGGGAGGCCGAGACGGGCGGATCATGAGGTCAGGAGATCGAGACCATCCTGGCTAACACAGTGAAACCCCGTCTCTACTAAAAAATACAAAAAAAAAAAAAAAAAAAACTAGCCGGGCGAGGTGGCGGGCGCCTGTAGTCCCAGCTACTCGGGAGGCTGAGGCAGGAGAATGGCTTAAACCCGGGAGGCGGAGCTTGCAGTGAGCCGAGATCCGGCCACTGCGCTCCAGCCTGGGCGACAGAGCAAGACTCTTGTCTCAAAAAAAAAAAAAAAAAAAAAAGAAATTGAGAAGAATGTATATGATGTTGTTATTGGAGAGAATGTTTTGTATATGTCTGTTAGATCCAGTTGGCTTATTGTGTGGAGCCCTTCATTTTCTTACTTATTTTCTGTCCCGTTATTCCATTTATTATTAAGAATTGGGTAACGACATCTCCAACTATTATTGTAGAACTTTCTATTTCTCCCTTCGATTCTGTCTGTTGTCTGATATATTTTGATGGTCTATTATTAGGCACAAAAATGTTTATAATTATGATATCTTTTTGCTGTATTGAACCTTTACTAACATATAATGTGCTTCTTTGTCTCTTGCAATTTTTTTTAAATTTCTAGTCTATTTTGTCTAATACGAGTATAATTACCCTTGTGGTTTCAGTTACCATTTGAATGGAATACCTTTTTCCACCCTTTTACTTTCAATTTATTTGTGCCTTTGGATCAAAAGTGAGTCTCTTGTAGACAGAATATAATTCAATCATAGCTTTTAAAAATCTATTTTGTGAATTTACGTCTTTTGACTAAGAATTTAATTCATTTACAACTACAATAATTACTGATAAAAGGGACTGTTATTTTGCTATTTGTTTTCTCCGTATTTTATAGCTTTTGTCATTTTTTGTATTTCTCTTCTACATATTCTTTGTTTAGTTGATTTTTTGTAATAACATGTTTTAATTCCTTTCTCATTTCCTTTTGTGTATATTCTAAAGATTTTTCTGTTTCCATGGGTATTACATGTAACACTAAAATTATAGAACTTTAATTTAAATTTATAACAGCTTACCATACAAAACTATTCTTTTACAGCTCTGATCTCACACCTTTTGGATATTGACATCACAAAATTGCATCTTTATAAGCTAATATTCTCTTTGTTACTACACTAATCTCTTAAACTAGGTAGAAACAAAGTGTGAAGTTATAAAGTTGTTATAATACTAGCTCTTATAATTGTCCATGTACTTACCTTTACTGAGATCTTTATTTCTTCATACAGCTTCTATTTGCTCTTTAGTGTCCTTTCATTTCACTTGGAAGGACTCCCCTCAAAATTGTTCACAGAACAGGACTAGTGGTAACAAATTCTATCAGCTTTTGTGTCTCTGGGAGTCAATTTCTCTCTTATTTTTGAAGGACAGTTTTGCCAGATACAGGATTGTTAGTTGAGGTTGTTTTCATTATTTTTTTTTTCTCTTAGCACTTCAAATATGTCATCATGTTGCCTTCTGGCAACCTCCAAATTTTCTGATGTAAAATCTACTAATAATCTTATTAAGGATATTTTCTTGTTTGTGACAAGTTTCTTTTGTATTGTTGCTTTTTAAGATTTTTTTCTTGCTTTTGACAGTTTGATTTTAATGTGTTTTGGTGTGAATCCCTTTGATTTCATACTACTAGTACTTTATTGATCTTTTTGGATGTTCATATTCATGTCTTCCATCAAAGTTGAAATATTTCGAGCCATTATTTATTCAAATATTCTCTGTGCTCCTTTCTCTTTCTCTTTTCATTCTGAGATTAGCACAGTGTTTAAGTTGGTCTGCTTGATGGTGCCCCACAGGTCCGTTAGAATCTTTTTAATTTTCTGCAATTATTGTTTCTCTCTGTTCCTCAAACTTGATAATTTCTACTATCTTATTTTCAAGTTCACTGATTCTTTCTTCTTTCTGATCAAATCTGCTTTTGAATCCTTCTAGTGAATTTTTATTTCAGTTATTGCATATTTCAGCTCCAGAATTTCCTTTTGGCTTTTAAAAAAGGTTTTCTGTATCCTTACTGATATCTTCATTTTGTTCATACACTGCCTTCTTGACTTTCTTCATGTATTTCCTTCATTCTTTGAGCATTTTTAAGACAGTTATTTTAACGTCTTTGTCTAGTAGATCTGGCATCAGGCCTTTCTGAGGGACGGTTTCTGTTGGTTTCTTTTTTCTTTTGAATGAGATATATTTTTCTGTTTCTTTGCATGCCTTGTGACATTTTTGTCGAAACTGGACATTGGCATGTAATAATGTAGTAACTCCATAGATCAGATCCTACCCCTTCCCTGGGGTTTTCTGGGTTTTTGTTTGTTTGTTTGGTTGGTTGGTTTCGATTGATTTGATTGCTATATGATGTATCTGTGCCAAGAATAAGCCATAGGTATCCATTTAAGCTCCTTTCAGGCATTCTTTTGGCCCTGTACCATTCCTTGGGCATGCATGGTGACTTTCTAACATCCCCCATATACAGAGCTGCTTTGAATATCCTAATCTTTAATGTATGACTTCCAATGGGAAAAACATAAATAAATGAAGGGCAAATAAAAAGGTGATAGCCCTTTAATTCTCTTGGAAGACATACCACCTAGAGCGGGAGGGGCTTGCAAAAATGAGAGGAGGTGCAACAATGTGTCCCCAACTCTGTGTCTGAAACTCTATGATCAGGAATAACAATTAGTGATCAGAACTTACATCCCCAATATTTGGGTGTCCTTAGTGCCCGCTCCGACTCCCAGCAGCTCTGTGTCAGCTGCTCTAGAAACATGTGCACAGCTTCCTGCCACAAGGCTGGGAGCGAGAGGTCAGTAGTTACTGCCTAGCTAAGAACTGAAATTAAATAAAATTAACCACAATTTACCATTTAAGCCTTCTCCCTGGAAGCCTTCAATTGTCTCCAGAGTTCCAAACGAGTTGTATCAGAAGATTCCACCAGTGTAATTATTATCTGAGTGGGGACACACATTCTAGTATTTCCTGCTCTGACATTTTCCAAGAATCCTCCTAAAATGACCTTTTGAAAACTCAGGGTGCTTGCTGGGATAATGTCGTCAAGGATGCAGTACAGACCTAAATTGGCAACCAACAAATGGTGTGTTTCTCCTATTGTCAATATTCATAAGCTCAGGGAACAAGGGGTAGAAATGGAAGTAGCTCCTCTCACTATCATTCCTAGTGATCCACAGTGAAATGTTGGCTTCCTGTCCACACAGCTTTGGGCTCTGATATTCCAGATGTCTAGAATTCTTAGTTCTAAACTGATAGTCATTTCTACCAGGATACTCAGGTGGTTTCCCTGACTGAAGGTTAAGCTTTCCCCTGACCGTTTTGTGAATCAACGGGCAAAGAAGGGAGTTATGCATAGATATGCATAATTTATCCTATCAAGAGGATATTGGATGACATCTTTACAATGGGGTTAAGAAAGAATATGTATAGAATGCAGAGTGAGGTCCACTGAATACTCCCATGTCCCTTGATTAAAGTCAAAGAAAATTAATGTAAAAAAATATCAATAGGGAGGGCTGCTAATGACCCAGTTTTCAGGTACAAAGATTTGAGTCACCTCACTGGCAATGAACCAAAAATAGCCAAGGAGCTTACTGAAGGCAAAAGGAATGTGCAATGGACAGTGGAAGAAGATAATTATAAAAACTAACTATGATCAAGGGACAAATTGTAGAAATGAGATCTGTAACAGTTACGTTTATTTGTTGCTTTCATACGAATATGTTTGTGTATATATCATAGAATTTTTATTCTCTCATTTCTCTACCATTTAACATAATGTATGCTGATAGTGAGTAGAGAGAAAAACAACAAAGAACACTTGTGTTGTGTGTGTGTGTGTGTCCATGTCCCCACACTGGCCAATTCAATTCAGACACTAATTGGAGTTAGTGCAGGCCCCAAAAAGTAGGAGTTCAATCCTACAAAACTGGCCCTCACTTCAGATGCCAATTGGAAGTAGCAGGTTCCCAAGCCAACCACAACTGCTGTTTGACTTGCTACAGATTGGAGGTTCCGACAACCTCCTTCTCACTATTGTCGGCATATTATGAAGTATTTCTTAATGCATACAATTGAACAGCCAGATGAAGAGATTCACAGGGCATGGTTCAGAAGACTAGCAAACATAGGAGTTTCGAACCTCTTGGAGTTGAAGTGTGCCTACTCCCCAGCCTGTTGATGTGTTCTTATTCACCAACCCAAAAGCTCTTTGAACCCCGTACCTTAGGAATTTTTATGAAGGCTTCACTATGTAGGCATGATTGATAATTAACTCATTATCCAGCCCCTCTCTCCTTCCTGGAGAAAGTAGGAGGTAGACCTGAAAGTTACAAGGTTCTAATTATGGCTTCATTTTTCTGTTGGTCGGCCTCCACCCAAGAGTCCACCGAGTCATCTCATTAGAACAAAAGTTGCTCTCATCACCAGGAAATGCCAAGGAATTAGGAATTCTGTGTAGGAAGTAAGGTCAAAAACAAAACACGCACCCAGCACAAAGGTTTTAGGAGGTCTGCACCAAGAACTGAGGGCAGAGACAAAAATTCCTATTTTTTTTAGTATGTTGCAAGTAATTAACCTCACATCTTACTATTTAACCTATAGGATCTCAAAAATATAAATATAACTTAGTTAGAAGATAAATACATTACCCAAATATGGATAAACAGATTTTGTATCTTCCTTTGGGGAAAGAGTGAGCTTGTTTGTACCCTAGGTTATACAAAGGATATTTGTATATTGACCAATGAAAACATGATTTTTGCCACTGTATTTATTTGGAAATTAAATAAAGTTTTTAAAGATGATGATAAAGATATGAATGCCAAGCTAAAAAGAGGTAGACTATGGCGGATTCGTCTTGTGTCCATTCAGCTAATATGGAGCATGTTTCTTGTAATTCCTTACCCTGAATAGTTCTATGTCAGTACAGGCAAGTGGAGACATTTTACACAAGATTTGGAAACTGGAAATGAAGAAGCAGTCATATTCCTCTTAGGCTTCAAAAATCAGTGTAGGGCGTCTGGTTTTGCCAGGTAGGTACTTTGCTGATTATCTACTGGCTCACCTTGTTGGCATAGAATAGCAGCAAGCCTTGCTGCTCCCCCAGCTGTCAACCATTCCCTCCTTCAGCTACCCTGACTCGTGGGCCATGTGTGTTTAACATCATGAGGAAGGGAGCAAGCTTCTACCATAGATCACCCATATCACTGAAGACAGTGACAACTTATGTCGATTCCAGTCTATCTTCATGGGTTCTGGTTTATTCTCACAAATTTCAGTTTCTTGCTGCTCTGCCCTTCTTTATGTCCATGTTTCTTTTTTAACTTTCTGCCACTCTGATTTCAGACCCCTGTAGTAGACACAGAAGCAATAACCTTAAAAATACTGTTCAACCAACTTCCATAATTGTATAAGGTCAAATCCCTACAATAAATCCTTTTTTATGTATCATTCTTGTTGGTTCTGCTTCTCCTATCAAGTCCTCACTGACATATTGATACTGCAGCCGTGGCACTGAGGCTAGAACACACCCACTGGACTTCTCATCTCCAACCAGACATCAGTGAGCTCAAAAAGTTCCTGGGCAGGAAGGGACTAGGTGCCTTTGGATAAGACTTCCTATTAAATCCAAAAAGTGAGCATTACAGCCTTGGCTCCAATATTGAAAGAAGTATATGATAAGTTCCCAAACCAGAAGGAAAGGTAATCCAGTTACATTTAGAATTAATTTACCATGATGTTTACGGTCAAAACCTAAGAAAGGTGAGAGGAATGTGTCCACCAATCCACGTGTTAACCAAAATGGCAGGAGTCCATCCTGGGCCAGATGACTCTCAGGGCACTATAGCTAATTGTTATGGTCCATGCAAGCAAGTTTCAGGTGGGAGGACCCTGAAGACAAAGCCCAAAGACAAACGATATTATCTGCAAATAATCTCAAACCCCATGCTAGGCTCACAACCTCTGAGCCAGCGACAGTACTGAAGTTTTCTGGCAGCAGCAGAACATATTGAGGATAATACAGGCTGGCCAAATCTATGAAAGGCTACAGAAGCACTGATTCAGGGAGAATTCTGGGATGGAGTCTTGACCACATTTCTAGCATGTGTATCCCATAATTATCTGCCAGAGGAGTCATTCACATCCAGTAGCTGTGAATGCTGGAAGGAGAGCCAAGAACACTCTAAAGGTCTGTGATTTGGGATTACACCAAGGGGGCTAAGGGTGATTTACTGAAGCCAGACACCTGGAAACCGGGGCAGGTTTTCTGAGCTGATCTATGCTGGTACCATGTAGTCTGGTTGAGTAGGTTCAAAGTTCAGGACAGGGTTAGCTGGTATAGAGGACACTTTGGCACATTCAAGGGCAAATTTTCCTGGCTAAAGTTCAAGAATAGATATCTAGAGCTAGAGGGAATAAACAGACAGAATAACCAACAGTAAATGCTAATATTATCTTAGATCTGCACAAATATTTTCTATTTTAAAAGGCGCTTCAAATATTTATTGAGCCCTAATGCTGCAGGCATAGTTCTATACACTAGAGTGTTGTTGTGATGAAAAAAGATAAAGATTCTGTCTTCATAAAACTCACTCTCTTGTTGTGAAAGGCAGAAAATAAACATATAAGCAGATAATTGATGTCATGGACAATGAAATGCAGGACGGGGTAGAGGGTAGTGATGGGAGTTCTATTTTATAGAAGAGGCTCAGGTGAGATCTCTCTCAGAAAGTAGCATTTGTGCTGGGCCCTGAAAGAATGGAGGATGCAAACCACACAAATATCTGTGGGAGAAGAGGGAAAGATTTATATAAGATACAAGTGACAAAGTTGGGATTTGAATCCACAGTACCTGATTTATCAACTTTCATTTTTCCTTCTTCCTTTGGTAACACTCTTATTCTCCATGAATGCTGACTTCAATCCCTGGCAGATTTTCCTTTAAGAATTTTGAGTACATTAAATTAGTATTTGACGATCTGGACCAAGCTATGCATTGTGTTTATACTTGCTCCCAACTTCCTCCCCTCTGCCTCCCAAGATAACTAAAGTTCATTTTAATGGGGACAAGGGTGTCTGATGCAATGGATCTCAACACAAGTCCACTAGAGATAAACCAGTATATGAAAGGCTATGAGGCATTCTGTAGCATGGCCTTTCTGACATTAAATTGCCTCTGGAACCCTTTTATCTGTGGCGTCCATTGCCATCATATGGCATGAATGTTATAAGAAATACACTTTTGAAAACACGAACGTAAAGGATGGGAGCCTCTTCTGAGCTGAGTGACCTTGGGCAAATACCTTTTCCAAATCCAGACTTTCCAGGTTTCCAGATGATGGAATCTTGGACACTGCAAGGATCTCACAGTTGCCTGATGTTTGAACCTCCTTCCTTAAATGGCTTTTTGATTGCTGTTGTATGTAAAAGGGTGCAGCAAAAGTTCATTTCCTTTCTCAATTTTGTCAGAAACTACCTGCATAGAAAGCACTTGCAGAAACTCATTCCATGGGGAAGGGAGAAAGATGTTAGTGAGGAGAAAGATGCTCATCTGTTTCTATTATTCTGCGCTCTCAAATCACTAGCTTTCCTGGAACAGAGCAGAGGTCTGAATGTGGTTTCTTTCTTCTAAGCATTTTTTTTTTTTGGAAACTCTTAATTGAAATATACCCTTTTTAAAAAGTGCACAAATAAGCATAAATGTTGGTGTCAGTGAAATTTTCAATCCTGCTTTAAGAAAAATAAAAACCATCACTAACATCTCAAAGTTCCTATTGAAGTCTCACCTATACCTACCCCAAAATACACCAGTCACTCTAATTTAAATACCGTATTTTAGCTTTATACAAATTGAACTGTAAATTTTCTGCCTGGCTTCTTTTGTTCAACATTATTCCTTGTGACTCATCTATATTGTTACATGTAGCAGTAGTTTATTCATTCTCTTTCTCATTGCTGTGTAATATTCTGTTGTATGGATTTCCTACCAGTTCTCAAACCAACCTGCTATGTTTAACAGAGTGGTGTCTGACATGCAAAGACGTCAAACTCTAATGACCTAATTTATTTGAGGAAATATGAGAAAAATGTGGGGGAAGGAGATAATGTTAGAAATTCAGTCTGGATTATTCTTAACACAAAATTATAATGATTTTTTATTGACATGAGGGACATATTATTTCAGTAGAGTATTTCACTTTCTACTGAGTATGGACCATTTGACACACTAGATTGAAAATGAATTTCAATTCACACTGATCAAACCTATAATTCCTTGGGTGCTTCTGTTGGCCCCCCACATTAAGTAGCTGAGATACTGAGTTTTCCTGCAAGGAACTGAAACAAGAAACCACTGAATCAAGCGAGTTACTGGTAAGGAAAGCTGAGATCAAAAGTGTGGATCCCAGCATCTGGAATGGGTACACCTGAGAAACCATTCTTACAGATGGAGATACATCATCTATTGCTCTATGCATGTTCTTTGTATCAAATAAATCTTCCTCCTCTCATGGTGGTGGTCTTCATGCCTGACATTTCACATTCTGGTTATGAAGACTATGCAGCTCTCTAAGCCTATGTTTCCGAATCTGTAAAATGAAGATAATACCTATTTCCAAAATACTGTTGAGAGAACTAAATAAGACAGTTTGTACACAATGACAGGTATTGTAAATACCTATTTAAAAGTAGCCTTTCAGATCTTTAGATATCTTTTCAGCAGACATTGTCCAATTAATATTGCAAATATTAAATTGAAAAACATCAGTGAAAGAATAAACTACTGATTTTCTACTTGAGGATTAATTTGTGCACAGAGTTAAGCACTGACATTCTGTATCAGACAGAAGCTAGGAAAGACATTGAGATGTCATCTCTGGCATCGTCCCTGCCTTGAGAGACCTGCCCAGAGCCCCTTTCACTCTGAGTTATGGAGTACTTGGTCTGGCAGCTCTATGGTTCGCTGAGCAGGGTTAGGGTCACCACCGTCCTGGATCCTTTATGAAATGTCAAATCCTGAAGGCTGAAAGGAACTGTACAGGACATGTGACCCAACATCCTCCTGGGGAGTTTGTCTATGGCATTCTTGACAGGGGTCTTTCACCTTCTGTTCGGATGCCATTGGTGACAGAAAGTGCTGTGCCTTACAAGGCAGCCTGCCCTGCTCTTGGGCTCCTCTGATTGTCACCTGCTTCCTGCTCACAATAAACTGAAATAGTGTCTTCCTGTAAGTTCCATCCATTTGTCTTCCTGGTGACTTCTGGAGGCCATACAAACTGTCTGCACCCTCTTACATGTGACGGCCCTTCAGAAAGATTTTCTCTCTGTTTGGAGATACATCATTCACCAAAATGATGCTTCACAAGTGATCCTCAGTCAAGCCCCTGGGGAGTTATATAGTGTCTCTTGAAGAGTATCTAGAGTAGAGGAGTGTGCATGTGTGTGTGCGTGTGTTCAATTTTATATGTATTTGAAGTGAGATGTTTGTAAATGAGAGTCACCAAAAACTTGTGTTTATATGAATATAACTTGATAAGGAAATAGAAATAGTCCCAAATTAAAATTCATCAACATGTTGAGTCTGTACTGCTAGAGGATCTGGAAGTGGTGATAGTTTTGTAAGAAACGGGGAAAAGGTGCTTAAAAATATTGGCTACAGAGTCAGGCCGGGCGCGGTGGCTCACGCCTGTAATCCCAGTAGTTTGGGAGGCTGAGGTGGGCAGATCATGAGGTCAGGAGATAGAGACGATCCTGGCTAACACAGTGAAAATCCGTCTCTACTAAAAAAATACAACAAAATTAGCTGGGCGTGGTGGTGGGCGCCTGTAGTCCCAGCTACTTGGGAGGCTGAGGCAGGAAATGGCGTGAACCCAGGAGGCAGAGCTTGCAGTGAGCCAAGATCGTGCCACTGCACTCCAGCCTGGGTGACAGAGTGAGATTCTGTCTCAAAAAAAAAAAAAAGAAAGAAAAAAAAATTGGCTACCGAGTCAAACTGTTTCACTGAAAACTTTGATTTTTCTCTACCCTTTAATAGCTCTGTCACCGTGAGCAAAGTTCTTATCTCTCTGAGCTTCCATTTCCTTATATATAAATTGGTTTTTTTTGAGAGAATTACATAAAATTATTAGGAACATTTTAGCTCAGTTCAATGCATAGTAAACAATCAATAAAAATACATTTTATAACAGTTATTATTTAAGGATTACCCACATTCTTAAGCGTCTATGACCTCATGTTAGCACAATAATCTGAACTCTATTCATTTCCCCAAAGTCCATCACTTATCCAAGGCCACCGAAGTGGCAGGAGTCAGGGTGAGAAATCAAGTTTAAAGCACTTGACTTTAAAATTTGTGCTTTTTTTACTAAACCCATGCTGCCTGTATGTCACAGGCCTGATGAAATAAGCAATTCTTTGGCAAAAATTGAAACCCGTTCTTCCAAACAGTCCCCATAGGTGATAATACATATATTACAGGATTTCAGAGCTGGTGAGAACATTTTTTTTTTCTTTTTAAAATTTTCAGTGGTAGCAAATTGTGTCCTTTGTTGCTAAAAAATATAATTCACCCTCATCAGAAGCCATTCAGTCAACTCTGATGAATAAGCCAGGTGATGAAGCAGAGGGATAATTTTATGTCACATATGGCAACATGCCTATGAAGTTAAGCCTAATTTCCTTATGTGACACGTAAATGGGCTCCAAAAGCTGTCCCCAAAGAGGAGTTTCTCCACTAGATTAAGCCGACACTTTAGGCTAAAAAAGAAAATATTTTCAGAAAAGGCAGCATTCATTTGAAGTCATAAGTTCCTGTTTATTTGCTAACAACGTGTCAACCTCATTAATTTGCCCGAACACGTCAATTTTATACAAGGGGTCTTAAAGACATTATGCTAAATCTTGAAGATACAAAACAAGATCTCTTCCCACAAGGAATTTAAAATGTAGCCAGGGAAAAAGAAAGGAGAGTAACGGGGTCATAGGGATAGAGTTATGCATAGGGCACTGAGATTACTAAGGAGGAGTTTAGGCTCAGGGAGGATGTTGCTGGCCTTGTTGGAAAGGGTGACAACTTACTGGCTTTGAATGGATATCTAGGAGTTAGCCAGCAAGATAGTGAAGAGAGAGGAATTCTAAACAGATAAAGCAGAATTAACAGAAGTCCAGGGATGAAACAGAATGGAGACTTGAGCAGCTATAATATTATAGCTACAAAAAGAGGACTGTTTCTGGGGCTATACTGAAAAACATTTACAGAACCAGGTGGGAGCAGTATCAACCAAAGGTTGTCCTCGAAGTGTTTAGAAGTTTAGCTTTAACTTGGAAAAATAAGCAACACTGTGAAAGTCCAATTTTACAGGTCAGAAAAATTATTCTAACAGCAGCGTGGAGAGACCAGAGTGAGGCAGTACCAGGGAGAGACTGCAGCAAAAATAAAATTGAGAGGTCATGAGGACCTGGAGGAAAGTGATGATAATAAGGATAAAAAAAAAAGGTGTGGATTTTAGGTAGGACTGATAAGAGGATGAACTAAGAGGACTTGGGAACAAACTGGAAGTGGCAAGTCAAGGAAAGGAGAGAGATACACAAAAGGCATTTTTTTAAAAAATTAAAAGAAAAATTTGGCTCACTTAGGGCCCGTCTATGTTTTGCAAAGGCTTAACATTATCGGGGGGATATCCATGTACTAATTTCTGGAAGAGTCTATAGAACACACACACACACACACACACACACACAAATAAATAAATAAATAAATAATAAAAATAAATAAATAAATAAACTCTGCATACTGAATACATTTCATTATTTTTAGTCAATCTCAGGGTCATTACATAGAATGTAAGTGATGCATGAGGCCAGAAATAATTTTAGACCTCTGTGTTTGGCATTTATTTAAGGTTATTATCAAGAGATAATAGACTATGTGCTCCTTATAATAGAGCTGTAGAGTTTTTAGAAATTAAAGTAGCAAGTAGTGAAATGCCTTGTGCATGGCAATGATATTTAGCTTCTTCTTTTACTTTCTTTCTGAGATACCAGGTCCAAGGTGATTTTAAAAAGAGTCCTTGGAGTCTGCTGTGAGTTCTCCATTGATTTCATATGCACAGAAGGCTTCAGGTGTGCTCTCAATAGTGCCTATTGTTAACCAGTTTTAAAGGGGGAGGCTTTACTGGGAAAAAAAATAGTCATTGTTTTTCTCTCAGACTGAGAGAAAAACAGCAACCCACCAAAGACCTATGTTTTGTCACTTTTACAACCACCTTATTGCAGGCGGAGGAAGTATCTTAGACAAAGACACCCCATTTTTTTTGTTTCTTTAATTTCTTTTGGAAGCTTTGTTCTACTTCCTTAAACCCCCTTGGCAAAAAAAAAAAAAAGAAAGAAAGAAAGA